AATAAAAATTTATTAACATATTGTTTTGTCTAGTAAAGCAATCACAGAACCAACAAAAAATTTAAAAGAGACCAAACATCTAATTATATTTATTATTTTTCCATCTGGCAATCTGGCGATGTCAAGTCAAATTTTCGTTAAATTCGCAAACCAACTGTCGACAGTTTGTTTGTCACAGGACAACCAATAAACAGTTGTAGAAGTACATGCTGATTGCTGCGCGGTTAGTAACAAAAATAGCTTATAAGTGAGCGGACGGTAATGGTTTTGGTTCTGAGAAAATTGCGTAAATTAAAACAAACTTTATTTTGTTTGGTAATATTACATTGATTTTGTGTACCAGAGCCGTGCGCGGTATGCTAATTGTTAGTGGCAGTGGTTTACGTTTAAATAAACCAAGATCCTTATATACATATACATGTGTAGATTTTACCCAGCGGCCATAAATTATTTTAACGAAACCCATTTTATAATTTAGAGCATGGTAAGAAACAGAAACAAAAACGAATTTTTTTGTTGAAATTTACTGGAATATAACTTAAAATTAGTAGAAACCGTTTAAAATCTCAGAGTATGAGTTGGTGTACATATATTAAAACGAACTTTAGTATAGATTTATTTGTTAGAATTAAAACAATTTAAGAATATAAAATGGTTTAATATAATTTCGAATGCAATTGCTTTTATTTAGTGTATGTATGGAAACATACATATTTTAATATACATGGATCGCACCAATTCGATAATGGAAAACACGGCTGCAACAGTCATTTAGTTTTACTTATTATTAATCATTTAAGTTTTTACTATATTCAAATTAATATAAATAATGTGAGATTATTGATATTAATATAATAATATTATTATTAATCTAATATCATCATATAAATATAACAATATTTATATAATAAAGTTAATAGTAATAATAATATTAATTTTTATGATGCTTAAACTAGCTAAGATAATTTTCTTTTGTTTTGTATGTGTTGCGATACAAAAACATTTTTATATCAATTTGAAATTATCACAATATTAATGAAATATATTTTTAAGAATATAAATCGTTTAAAGAAATATCGGTTCGCATAGAAAATACCTGTAAAAGCATTTCGTTAGTGGTCAAGAAAGATACAACACAATATCCTTGGCACTATTAAGGATCAAACTTATGAGTACGCGATTAACCAAAACTTAACTTAACAATAACGGAATAGAACCATATATATCGGTTTCTGGCACTTCTTGCATTTATTAATATTGCTAGTATTTAACTTACGATGAACTGTAACGAAAAAATACATAAATTAAATAAATCATTTATTATATATTCTTAAGTGTACTACACATAATAGATCTTTTGTATTTACCATACTTCCATAATAACTTATTTCTTCTTGAATCCAAAACAGGTTAACAGATATACTTATTAAAAAATAGATGATTTTGTGCCACATTACTTTTAAAAAATTTAAAAATATAAAATTTAGGGCCATTTTTTAAGTAATTTAACAGATTTTTCGTTCTGCACAATTATCAGTCCAGTTAACTATTGAAGTATTTCAGAAAACAACCTGCTGGAGACCAAAGTTAAGTAGTAATAGAGGGAGCTTCATTGTTTCTTACTTTCCTAAGTTTCCACAATGATGCTGGGAAGCAATGCACAACATAGATTATTGAATATATATTGAATTTTTTCGTTATTTTATATTTCGCATATAATATATTAAAAGTAAGATATATATTCCTAATAAGTAAGAGGTTTAAGTTTAAATGTAGCTGGATGAACTATTAAAATTATAACAAACATATTTTGTGTCAATAGACGACATTGACGACCTAAGCTGTGGTTGTATTTTAGACTATTTTTTATTTGCAAGAGAGTCTAATAAATCTGTTTAAATTTCATCGAAATCAAGTTAATTTCTTTTCTTCTAATTATATTTCATTTTTAATTATAGTTGCAACTAAAAAATGTGTGATATATAAGATTGATATGATATTTATGGGCCAAATGTTGCTAGAAATTATATGTGTTATTTCAACTGGAATTGGGTATTGCCTTTATAAAGGGCATGGATACACAGGAGCTAAAAAGTAAGGATTAAGGTAAGCGGAATACATCCAAATAATATTCTTTATTATGATCTTGTTCTTATAACTCTTACTTTTAATTTAGATTAATACTAGAAGAAACTATTGATTATGATTGAAGCGATTTTGAAATACTGTTGATTGTTTATTAACAAAAGTGCATTCACATTAATATAGGTGCGTAATAGTTTTGTATTGTTAACCTTAGAAACTTAAATTATTAAAAAATAATTTAGTGACAGCCTAACTAAAATTTGATTAACAAATGTTTTGTTAATCCAGAACCAGTGACAATCAATATACAAATACAAATAAACACTAGTGTGCAAATTATTAATATTATGGATGGAATTTAACACCAATTGATGAATAAAAAGGTAAAGAATTAATGAATATATAACATTTATATATTATTCTAGTACTTCCGAATTGAGGAAAAAAACAAATATTTTGTTTATATATTGGCCTCATTTTTGCAAGACCTAACTAGCAGATCAGGTCTTACGTAATACCTATGTGTATGACTTATGTACTTATGTCGCCTTTATTAAATATATTTAGGTATTAATATTTTTTTTTTATTTTATGTAAATTAAAAAAGTATTAAGTGAAAGCGGTGCCAACAAAATTATATTTAAAAACAATTATGCATTAATAAACATAAACTTGTTAACAACCAAAAACTTTAGGAAATCAATATGCTTGGTACTTACACTTTCTTTATTAGACTCAATTTAAAAATTTGTATTTTTCGAATATATTTTTTCAATAATTTAAATTTAATAATTAATATTAATTTAATAATTTTAAATTTGTGAATATTTTAAATTTTGTTCCTATTTTTTCCTACACACAATTTTGAAGGATGATTGGAATTTATGGTAGAGTTTCAAATGAAATTTTTCAACAGACTGTTTATTGCGTATCGCATTAGTAACATTAATTTCTGCGTTCTATTAGATGATTAGAAACTTGATATCTAGTCTAATGGATCAAGAGAGTAGTGTTGTTCCTTCACATACACATTAAAGACGTGTTTTTGTCGCACGTTGAAACGTCAGAATGTAGCTATTATAAAGTAATATAATATAATGACTTAATTAAATTCATTTTTCTTTTTCTGATTAAAAATACCACCTTAACATAATTGAAAAATAAGTATATTGAAAAAGACTCTCATAATGATAATTTTATTTCCTTTCAGCTATGTTTAATGCGAATAAGCAAAAAAAAAAATCTAAAAAAATGTATTAAATCAGCCTTGGCTGTTAACCGGATGGAAAATTTGAAGTTTAAACGAGTAAAAGCTTTTACATATAAAGAATTGCTTTCAATGGGCTGTGCGTCGTTACTCGGATTAATTTCTCTACGTTAATCGTATATGGTATTATCTGATATAAAAAATGTGAGCGCAAATTTGTTTAAATTTGACTGAACTAAAATATATTTCCGAAGAATTTATTGCGCACGTATTTAGTCGAAGACTACGAGTTTAATTTTGATACTTAATATCAGTTGTAAGTCTCTTTGCAAATAATTGATTTAATTATTTCAATTCAATTTTAATAAGTTTTAATAATTAATTTATAATGATTAGATTATATTTATAAAATATTTTAGCATTTTAAACTATTTTATATTTTGTTATGTAGAGTGAAAACATAAAGAACCCTTGTTTTTGTTGCTAATTATCAAGAATCGACAAGCCATAATTTACTCCTTAAAAACAATCGAATTGCACGCAATGAACGCTTGTTGTCTGGTCGCTTGTAGTTCTAAGCGCCGACAGTTCCATATATGAATTCTTACTAATGTGCAACTGCCGGCATATATTAACTTTACCTGAATTTTTAGGTTAACTTGTGTTCGGTTTTTATACTTAGCTATATTGTAAAATAGTTTTATAGCTCTGTCTTTGACAAACTTCAGTTCATTTAGCAATTATTTTCTTTAATGCTTTATTCTGGAATGTTTGGAGTCTTTTCATATTGCTGCCCTGATTTGTTTATATATTACTATATAATTATTTATGTGGATATTCCTTAAAAATGTTAATGGACTATGGGATTGAAGTTCTAAGCCCCATTCCAAACTTTTCTGATTTATATGAGAAATCCACTTAAAGTTTTTATCAAATTGTAATCCTAAATATTGTACCATTCTCTTAATTCGTTGTCTAACATTAGGTACTGCATAATCATTTGCCTGGAAATTGTTTTCCTTTTTAGGTTTTTTTGGATTGCGTGTTAGATTTTTTTTCTAATGAATTCGTTTGAGCTGAGTATTGCGTTTTGATATTTCCTCATTTTGTTTTCTGAGTTCGCCTATTAGCTTCAGCATTTCCCTATTTTCTTGTTCCAAACTTATTACAGTTACCAGAGTATCATAGTCTACTGCTTGCTCTTTGCTGACACATTTCCCTTCTATATCACTCATGTTGTTGTTTTCGTTATCACTTATAGCGTAGTTTTCGTTATCGCTCATTTTATTAATTAAAAAATTTTATTTATTATTTACTTATATATATTTTTTTCACTAAGTGCTCTTAAATTAAGTTTATATCTCTTTCACTAAGAATTCTTGAGTCTCTGCCTCAATTCTTATCAACTATTTACGCACTTTTTCCTGCTTGCCTTTGGCAATTTTCGAAGTTATTTCCGTGCATTATCTTCTTATTGTTCTTTTCTTGTTGAAGAAACCTTCTTTTTCAGGTTTTTTTTGTTAAAACCTTCTTCCTTATACATCTTCTCTCTTTTCCAGGTAGCACTACACTTTCACTGTAGTTATGATATACGTTTTTTCTTCAAAATTAAAAAAAAAGTTCTTGTTAAAAAATTATTTTACAATTTAAAATTCTTGACTTATTTTATATCAGAATGACTATCCAGTTAAATCAGCTATCTATAGTTATTTAATTTATTAATTTTTAAAATATTTACATTTAAATTCAAGTCGTTAATATAGTCTGTAAGCTCTTGAACTTCGTACGAAGGGAACAGTTTATTTATAAATCAAGTGTAAGGTTTCTCTCTTACAGATGTGAACGTACACAAATTAAATTTTTTACTTATAAGCAGTCTTTAATCGTACCGGTATTGATATGAATCACGTTTTTATTGACTATATTAACGTTAAATTTTTTATGTCCTAAAAATTGGTATAATATATTAATATTAATAATCTCTCTTTAAGGAGCTTTGTATATAATAAATACCATATAGTATGAGTATTTTTACGATTACCCATGACAGCTGTCTTTGGTGCTAGCCATTTGGTCGGTGGCTACTGGTCTGAGTTGCCACCTGGATGAGCATTATGATTGCTGATAGCGTTTGCTTCTTTATACTTAAGCATGGCATGTAGAATCGCCATGTAGTTGCTGATTTCTGATTGCAACTGCTCGATCATTTTTTGCATTTAGTGAAATTTGGTTTCGTAGCCATCTTTAGTATCAGTGTTTGCTAAGTCGCTCATCTGCTTCTTCCTCCTCTTCTTATTTCTTACAACTTCTATCATTTTGCCAGAGGCCACTTTATTCTCATTTCTTGTTCCAGATGCAGCAGTATAATGCACTTTCAACACCTCATCTTCTATAGACAGTTATAGACTGCTGTGCATGTAGTGGTAAATTAGATTGTGCAATCACTATTGCACTGGATATATTTTAGTTTTGCATTCTATTGTATAATGATGTCATTTTTTTTCCTCATCCAAAAAATACAAAAAGTTATTCACTCGTATCATCAACATATGCGACTAAAACGCTCAGATCAGTACCTGCTGGATGTACTTTAATATTATCAAAACATAGCTCTGATAAATTGCTTCAACGACTGGTTGCGCTCCTCTGCCGATACAGAGTAGCCTCGATGGTGACACAGTTGAAGTGTCGCAATGCGTAGCCGCCACAGCTTCGATATTACATCATCATTGTCCTCCTCCAAAACGACGTTAAATTCTGCTCACGTACCAGAAATTGAATTTTATCCTATGTCCACTAGTATTTTTGTATACAGCGGTGATTTATGTTAGTACTTACTTTTTAGCTTTTACTTTATTAGAATTCATAGGTTAAAATGTTCTTCGCTATTCGATACACGCTTAATAGAATTTGCGCGCAGACTTTTGCTTTATACAATATTAATAATATTGAAATTCAAAATTATGATTATGAAAATGTAAAATTTATTAGCATTACACTTGTATAATTTCTAAAATAGATTCTTTACTATTAAAGTAATTTTTAGAATTTATAAAATTTTTATAAATTTGTTTTTCTAAAAACACAAAAAATTATATTCCGCACTCAATAATAAACGAATGCTTCAAATGACGCTTCGAACGCTCAACTCGAATCATCATCGAATTCGTATTGTTAGTTTAGTTTGTTAGAATTATAATTTTGGTTTATTGATGATATTTCATATTTACAAGGTTTTCTTAAAGCTAGAAATTACAATAATAAGTATTATATACAGCAGGTTTTTAACAAGCAATTGTGTATTTTCCTAAGAGTATCTTACGGTATGACAATAGACTTATTATAAAATAATAGATAAATTTGCAAATTATATTAACAACAGAATTTTCTAAAAAAAAAGATCAAAAAAAGGAAATTACATCATTTTGGTTAAATATTTTTACTTAAAACTAACTAACTACTACCTTAGTGCTAGCTTAACACTATCCTATACTAGCTTAAACTACTATATACAATATATACAACAGAGTTTTACAATTTATGTACAGAGTTATTCAAATTTTTATGTGATTATGTTATAATACAAATTGCGCTGTAGAGTACACTGGACCGGCTAGATCGTTTTTGATATATCTTCTGTGATAGTATATTTTCATAAAGCAAGTTGTTGGCGTTAAGGTTGCCCAGATGCAACGGCGATAGATACCTATCTGATGTCGGGTGCCTTTGAAAGGTAATTATGGAGAATTATGGATTCCTGTGGCACTCCTTCACCGATTGTTTTTAATGAAGAGCTATTGTCTAAGTGCCTGACATGCAATTTCTTATTGGTAAAATAGTCAACAATTACAGAGCACATATGTCTATCAATTCCCAATTTAACCTATTTGTATGCAATACCCTCTATCAATGCAGTGTCAAATGCTTCTTCAAAGTCTAGGGACACTGCTATGGTGAACCATTTCCTGTCCAGTTTGCTTGTGATCGAATCGGCTGGCAAGGAAAGAGCATGCGAAGTAGAGAGCTATCGCTTAAAACCAAAGTGAAAGTCTTTGAGGACATTATTTATGAACAATTTAACATTTAGGTCCTCAAATAGTAACCTTTCATATAGTTTGCTGATGTTGGATAATAGAGATATTGGCATATAGCTGCTTATGTGCGCGGGGTCCTTTAGTTAGCAGTGGTACAACCCTGGCTACTTTCTAGGAATCTGGAAAGTAGTCCAGGTTGTACATCTGATTAAATAGATCGGCAAGGCCCTTTCACAGTTGCTTACTGATCTTCTTCAGTATAAAGTTGGTAATGTTGTCGGGACCATGGTTCTTTTTATTGTTTAGGGATTTGATTTTTGCCCCTACATCTTTTGCAGTAATATAGGAGAGTGTCCTACGAGCAACAGGGTCTCTGACAAACCTCCCATCTGCCGGTATGTCAATATTAAATTGGGTAAGAATTGCAGAGTTTCTAAATGAGTTCACTTCTTTTGCCTGTGCACCAAACCTCCTTGCTCCTTATTGTCATAGTGTGCCTGCTCAAAGCAGTCAGCTAACGCATTCATCTTATCTGCGTTGCGCGTGAGTGTATTGGAATATCTATAAATTCATTTTCAGACTTTTGAAACTATTATTCCAGCGCGTTTTGATCCAGCTCGATCCACCTGATGTGGTTGGTGATGATTATATCGAAATTACGTAAGATAGCTTTCAAAGTGTTTCTCCTAGCTGGATCAATACACCTCCTTATAGTTCTCCTGAGTCTCCTTTTCTCCTCAACAAATTTTATGACATACTGCGATAGGTTTAGTAGACCTCTGTTTCTGAAAACAGCATTAGCGAATACGAGGTTAATTCCATTAATGCAATTGTCAACTTCATTGCAAGATACTACTCTGTCTGCTGGTGGAATGAAGGGTGTAATATGTCCACTCCTTCGGGTGGACAAAGCGATAGCAGTTCGACAGCCAAATGATCTGAATTGCAATTTAGGGTTCGAAGTTTATTTTCTAATGTACTATGAAAGATAAGAGATATTTAGCGTCTATGTTTAAGTCTCTATGTTTACCGTCTAGGTCTCCTGCTAGTACTACGTGGTCAGTGCCTAT